CGGCACTCCCATTACTGCTTCTGTAAGGGTCTCGTAAAATTTCTCAACCTGTTCTTGTGGTGCAGCGTTGGTGGGCGAGTGGACCCTTCTGGATACGCCACTGCCCACATTATACCCTACCAACAATAGAGCTAGCAACCAATACACTCCCACCAATATGGGCGTAAATCAGGGAGTAGTGTTAGGAAGGATGTAGCCCCACGCTTTATTTTAATAAAGGGGAGGATTGGCCATTGGATCATCCCCCCCCCCAGTGTTGTGATAAAAAAAGTCAAACAAATCAGTTTAGGTAAATACCAACAAGAACAAACAACACACACCCCTAGTGTGTTAATGGACGTAAGCGCATTTTTATGCTCAACAGCGCCCCTAGTGTCTCCTGCTGTCCATCCCCCACCTCTTTTTGAATTTCTACGGTTTGCTGTCAAGTAGGCGGTGTGTTATCACCGAACCCCCCCCCCCCACTCGGTTATGCGGATTTATGCTTCTGCCCACCAACCCTAACTGTACCCCCACCGACCCTCAGCCCAATCTGCATCTGATTTTTAACCCCAGCCCCAAATTGAATCGTCCTGACTAGCAAACAGTTCAAACTTCAAAACATACACAACAACTGGACTTTGTCTGCAATACCTTTAATTGCAAAGCTATTTTGATAAAGCAAAACCGTTTAAACATTACTTCAAAAAAATGTGTTCGCGAGAGTCAGATTAGTATCTCATCATTTATTACTGTAACAATCGATTTCAATCCAAGTGCAATGTTTGAAAAGTCTTTGTACTTTTCCATCAATTCGATTGAATTCTTCAAAACATGGATTGTAAAACAAGCGTGGTTTTTGATACCAATGAAGTCCAGCCGAAGGAGCTTGAAAGACGCGGCATGTAGTTGTACACATTATCAAAAAGCTGGAGTTGTATTGATTATTTACATTTTCTGAGTAGTTGTATTCGATACGTATCGCATTATTATAATTACTTTGTGTTGTAATTTATTGAAACTGCCAAACAGAGCTATTAATAATCAAAATGTACTACAAAAATAAAAAAAAAACACTTTGCTGAGGACCAATTATAAACTGTTGCTGTGTTATAGGCCCTTCCTGACAAGCGTTTCGACAACCTTTTTTTTCTGTAATAGTGTTACATTTAAAAACAAACATTGCATAAATCATAAGCAATTATTTGATACGAATTCCCACAGTCAATACTTTAGCTGCAATGAAACTTGAGAATGTTATGGGTCATTATTGTGCAATTCAACTGCAAGCTTGTTAAAAACAACAAAACCTGTGAAGTTTAATAAATGATAATTGGGCATGTCCCCACACTGCAAAAACTGTGGTGTTAATTTAACACCATTCGGTATCTATATAGGACAACACCAGTAAAATTTAACACCAGATGGTCCTATATAGATACTAATGGTGTAAATTTAACACTGCAGTTTTTGCAGTGCGCCCGCCCAGAAAGAGCCTCAAACTCCTTATCTGCGACTTTCAAGTAATTGAAGTTTGGATGATTAGATAGACGTTTGTTGGGAAATCCGTTTTGTGCTGATGTCTGAGGCATGCATGATCAAACAACAAAACTCAGAAACCTGAGTGAACGTACGCAATCTCTCAGCGCATCTTGACAAAAAGGGCAATCGATACGTTTGTTTTCAAGTGAATGAGGATTACAAATTACAGATTTATTGATTTGTATTTATTTTGAATTTGAACTTTGGTAAACTAATCGTCGGCTGCCTAGTCAGATTTTAAATTCATTTCATACAAAGAAAAAAAATCCATGACCAAAATGCATTTGCATTACAGGAATATCTCTCAAATAACAATGTATGCTTGACAGTGAATGTAATGTTTACCTTATTCGAACAAAAAGTAAAAGTATGCGATACGATTTACTTTAATGACACATCTTCTATATCTACATTATTAGATACACATACAAACGTTTCAATCAGGATAAAATAATTTCAGTACTTTTAAGTAGGCTGCAAGATTTTATTATATGATACTTAAACGATACCATACGGTGCAACTATTAAGTACTCAGAACTCATAAATCATAAACTATTATTTGATACGAATTCCCCCAGTCAATACTATAGCTGCAATTAAACAAATCACGAGAGGAAAATAATAAAATAAATTATGAAACTTGAGAATGTTATTCATATTGTGCAATTCAAATGCAAGCTTATTAAAAACACCAACACTTGTGAAGTTTTTGCAGTGTGCCCGCCCAGAAAGAGCCTCAAACTCCTTATCTGCGACTTTCAAGTAATTCAACTTTGGATGATTAGATAGACGTTTGTTGGGAAATCAGTTTTGTGCTGATGTCTGAGGCATGCATGATCGATCAACAAAACTCAGAAACCTGAGAGAACGTACGCAATCTCTCAGCGCATCTTGACAAAAGGGCAACCGATACGTTTGTTTTCAAGTGAATGGCGATTACAAATTACAGATTTATTGATTTGTATATCTTTTGAATTTGAACTGTGGTAAATTAATCGTCGGCTGCCTAGTCAGATTTTAAATTCATTTCATACAAAGAAAAAAAATCCATGACCAAAATGCACTTGCATTACAGGATCTCTCAAATAACAATGTATACTTGACAGTGAATGTTATGTTTACCTTATTCGAACAAAAAGTAAAAATATGCGATACGATTTTCTTTAATGACACATCTTCTATATCTTCATTATTAGATACACATACAAACGTTTCAATCAGGATAATATAATTTCAGTACTTTTAAGTAGGATGTAAGATTTGTTTTAAATGATACTTAAACGATACCATACGGTGCTACTATTAAGCATTCAAAACCATGTGTTAATCCAATGCCGTAAAACCGTTCTGTGTCTATGCACTTTTTAAAGTACATGTAACACAGTATTCAACTTAATTATTTTGATATTTTTAAAAAAATGTTTCACATTCCTCATTAATAAGATGTTGTTTCGGATAGACGGTGGAGCGATTGAAAATTCGGCGATGCGCGTGATCGTGTATATATTAGGCATGGTTATTGTGTTTGACTATTCGGGGTAAAGGAGGAAGCCACTGAATGAGGTGTAGTGATATAAGTTACTACCCGCCTGACCGCGTATGGTAAGATACACCGTGTCTTCACGGTGCAGCACCAGCACCGCGCTCCCAGACACCTGCTCTTGATTAGTTGAATCCCCGCTAAATCCAGTGACAACCCAGTCGTTGTTTTTCTTTAGATGTATGTGTAGGGTAGTGCTTGAAGCATATTCAAGCACAGAAAATGTAAACACGTAGGTGCCCGGCACTCTACAGGTAAATGTGCCAGTCTCAAGATCGAAGCTGGTACCCGGCAAAAGCGTCTCGGTCTCCTGGAATGGCAAACGGGTGTCGTGACTCGTAGAGGTATCCGAGCCGCTCGTCCTCACCACGGCGAATGCTACCCGCTGGTTGGAGCCGTCTGGTGTTTGTCCTGGCTCACCCTTCTGACCTTTGACACCAGTTTCCCCGATTCTTCCAACGATACCTGGTATACCTCTGGGACCTATCTTGCCAGGCAGACCAATCCCATCATCACCTTCAGACCCAGTGTTCCCGGGTGCTCCCCGTTCACCCATAGGTCCAATCTGTCCAATTTCACCTTTGTGACCTTGCTGACCCGCATCGCCCTTTGACCCCGGCTGACCGTACGGCCCCATCGGTTCTCCTGGTCCAGGCAGTCCTGGTATGCCGGGTATTGCAGCAGGTCCCTGGCAGCACTGCTGACACACCTGAGACGCAGGACCATCACCGTCCGAGGGAACCGGCCCAGTAACGGAAGCTCGGAGCTTGACAGAGTTACCCAGAAGGAGGGCGATTGAAATAATGGTTGCCATGCAATTGTTCATCTGTTTAAAAAAAAAAGTCATACAAAAAAATATGGAAAATAATAGGGAAGGGTGAGATAAACAAAATTGAGGTCAGAGAAAACTGGAGAAATTATATTAGAGTTAGACTTTTGAAACTTTGCGTCGTTTGAATTAAAAATAAATTCATACATTATTAACATGTGAAAAATGTGAAGATTTTCTCAAACATCACTGATCAAGCTCGAAAAGCTTCTCTTTAACATTCTCATTAAAGGGAATTCATTTCCCGGAGACGAAAATGAAGGTAACAGTTTAGCGAGCATCGCCGAATTATTTAAGACGAAAATCCGCTCTTTGTCTAAATTGAAGTCTAAATCTGACTAATCTGAAAACGGACCGCTGGGGAGACTATAATTAACAAAACGTCTTTTATTCTGATCATGAATTAGGAGGAACATGATTTGTGAATATCACTTGGACGAATTCGGCCGAAAATTAACCCTGTCAGTCCATACGAGGAGGTATTTTGGTCTTCTTAGCACTGCACATTGTGTTCCCAGTCGCCGGGATCGGGGGGGGGGGGGTCAAACACCCCTCCCCCCGCAGGTCTGTTTTGTTTTTCTTTTTACAGAAATTCCTTCAAAATAATGCAAAAACCGGCCTCCCAGCTCTGACACCCAAACATATGCTGGTAATAAGAAAAACTCCGCCTGCGCACAAAATACGTACAGAGCCAGCTTCTGAGCCAGTTGTTAGGGGGTATTTGTACACTATTCTGTAATATAATGTTAATAATCGTCGGATTTGAAGGCGCCAACAATTGAAGTAAGGTACGAGCCCCCCCCCCCTTGATTTTATGGAGTTAAGTGTCTGGACAAAATAAAACCTGTCTACATTTCAGCGTTGATTTGCTGATGGAACCCCCCTCCCGGCCAAAAATCCTGAATCCGCCCTTCGTTCCTCCTACTTATTTTACTTGATGATCGATATTTCTTAAATTTAAAAGGACTTTAGGATGATGGCCAGTTCTCTATATTTTAACATTTACATTTATTTCATTTTTCGGGATACATTTCGTTACAATAAACAACAAAATTAAATACTCAGAAACACACATCAACATTTTAGACAAAACATACACAATATAAATTTTAACCAGCTACCGCTGGATTACCGTAAAGAAACATGGTTTCTGTCGAGGGGCTCTCCAACTGATCAAATATGACACACTAAACACAATCTGTTAAAGTTTTGACTCAAAATGTATCAATGCGTATGAAAAGATACAGTCTCTCACCAAATCATCTCTCTATTGAGATGCTTAATTGAGGTAATTATTAAATAATTTTCACTTACCTTGAAGTAACGTTTTGGAATTCTATCAGGACAGGAATCCTCGACACTCGAGCAGATTGCTAGCTGAAAATAATACCAAAAAAATAGTCAATCCAAATTCACTCGGAGATGACTTGGGGACTGGTGGGGGAGGCATAGCTTAATTTCACACGAAAACACCGCAACAAATCTCTGTGATTGCGGATTGAGTTCTTTTTTTATTTCAAGCGAATTGTGTTCTCCAACAGCTCTGACTGGACTCACGTTTGAGCAACAATCATCTTTGTTTGAGGATTAACTAGTTTGGAACCGAACGAATTAATCACAAAATGAGAATTTTGTCAAAATATGTCACCAAAATCAAGTTTAATTCACGTGAGATCATATCGCAATGTCTGGACATGTACCTATATCATGACAGAAACTTTGCAATGCCAGAAGTGAAGATATGACCGGTTTCTAATTCCCTTAAATCGTAACTGTTGAATGGGATTGCGCCAGACTTGTTATGCAGGCATAATGCAGCCTTTCTTTACAGTCAGTTATTTTTTTTTTTCATCTGGCTTTATACACATTAGGGAACGTTAAATTACAAGTTTGAAATTATTCTCTGAAGCAGAATGGACTTAATTAGTAATTAACTTGCTTTCATTTCTCTACACAAGTTCCAGAAATAAAGATGTTACCTCACTCTCAATACAATATGGCCGACTCGTGCATACCACTATCGGTGTTTCAAAAAATATTCAACAGAATCTTAATACATGTAGTGGCATGTTGAGTGGAACCCTTTACATGCAAACATCACTAAATTCAAATTCATGTGTTTCGAATTTTTAAGGCTGAGTGCAGAGCATGCAGCAAGGCCGAATAATGTCTACAAATATCAACTCTATACATGATCAGAAATAAATCCAGTTAGTTAAAGCAATTTGAACTAGAATAAAACCGTTTGCATGATCATCCGGTCCGTTTATATTTGCGCTTTCTAATAGTGAAACCATAGAGCGTTTGTTTCTGACTAGCCATACTTTTGTTAGCAATGTTTGAATGTAATTATAAATCATTGACAGAAAATGGCGCGGATCGAATATTAGCGTGCTTGTTTGGCTGTTAACATTCGTGTATCAGTAGTCACGCAATATCAGTTTCAATTGAAGTTTTGTTCAGATAAATCGTGTTTTTTTTAGTCCTCGAGCAAGTACAGTTAGAGAAAAGGGAAATTTCAAGACGGCCACCGCGCTCAGCAATAATCTTAAAAAGAATCCCACGCTGACTGAAATAACACTATGTGCAAAAAAGGCAACTTTTTTGTTTCTGAAAAAGAAAAGAAAAAAACAACAATTAATTGTTTCAAACACTCACCAAGCAAATCTCGTTCTTGCAATCAGTTCGCTCGGGTTATCGTCTGAGGGTGAAGAGGTGCTGCGGTCTTGTGAGGAGTGAAGAGGCCGCTCGTGGCTTAAATATTGCCTTAGATTTCCCGAGCAGTGACTGGCCCGGTTTGTGATTGGCCCCTGCTCGCTGTCACTCAGACATCACCAACTCGCTTCATGTTAATAAGAAGGAAGTGATGTCAATGTGGTTGATGTTATACAGTCAGAATCAAAACTTGTGTCACCGACACTGAAATAGCCGCATCTTATTGGTGGATATGGATGTCGGTGACACGTACATCTAAAACACACGATTTGTGATTGACACATACGACCTGTCAATCACAAACCACTCACTGGTGATCACCGACTTGTTGGGTGATTTACTTTGATTGGCGGATTGAAAATTGACGTACACTGGCCGTGATTCATTAAATGTGCAGTTGGCACTTCAGTCCATTAAATTGTTTCGATTTATTTAGGATTGCATGAGGAATCAAATCGTAGTCAAGATGGCGGTTAAAGTAGGATTTAACTTAAATCTGGGAGCACCTGGGTACATTATATGGATGCACTTCACTCAGATGAAACGTTCTGTTATACAACAGTGCATTTTGTTCAAGTCAGGATCTCAAATTAGAGCACAAGGGAAGAGGAGAGGGGTTAAGGTTTTCCACTGGCGGGGGGGGGGGCAGTAAGGTGGGAAGGGGGAGGGGGAAGCAGTGAGGTGGGAAGGGGGAGAAGGGGGAAGGGCAAGGGGGTGAAATGGGCAAGGGGGTGAAAGGGGCAAGGGGGTGAAAGGGGCAAGGGGAAGGGGGCGGCTCATGTACCCCGTGTCTACAGTCGTGCCATGGGTAAGGCATTGCTATTCATTATTGGGGATTTTAAAGACTAAGATACATTACATACAAGTTGGAAGAAAGTTAAGTGAACTTCGATGAACTTTGCTGTCAGCCTTTTGTATAATATTTTAGCAGCTTTGTATTGTTGGACGTGAGTTTTTAGAATTGTGTAAACCCCAGTCCGAATGAACCTTCCCAGAAATGCAGGAATGTATGCAGTGCTATGATGGACTTACAAAGCACAATTAATTAGCTAAACTAATGACACAATTCAACAATAGAACGTAAAATGAATTAAGATAAATATCCCCCATATAAACAAGATAGGCATGTTTTGCATGACCAGATTTCCTGTGTTTGTTATTGAATGACTTTCGCATAACGAGTCATCCTGAACTTTAGCCTTGGTGATATCCGGACAAATTAATCACACCAGAAGGTGTCATTCTGTTTGTTTAAGCATCTCGACATTTTAATAATCTCTTAAGCAATGGCGTAGCGCCGATATAAGTGTGGGGTGCGGTCGTTGAACGACCACAAGCCCCTCCCCCTCCCCCCAAACCCGGTGAAAAAAGCCACTGATGTGTTTAGGGGCTTAACATTAATGGCCATGTTCCGAAGCCAGAGACAAAGCCTAAACTTATAAAACGCCCGAAGTCAAATTAAGGCCTACTGTAGTAAGGTGTTTCCCAAACTGCGGCTTCGTTCCGTTTTTGGCTTTGGGCATGCGGTTTTGCAATGGAGCTGCAGCTGTATTTATGGAATGAAGCCGGGACTTGGAAAACCTCGCAAGTCACTTTCTCGGCGTGTGTATAATAATTATTGTCTCCGATCAAAACGCCTTGCTGTTTTGCCACTCGGTCATATACCGGTGAGAGTCAGGTTGACCTCGTAAAAAGGCTACAGTTAGGCCATTTTTTTGACCAGCAGAGTTAATTCCTTATTATCATTTGGGGAACCGTCAACTTGGAAGTGGTGAAGATCTGGGGATGCAGAAGATGTTAAGTGGAAATGGACGTTACGTAGCTATTGAGGGCATTGCTCTAGAATATATGTACATGTTGTAGCATACACGCGTGCGTTGATTGTTAATACTTGAAAAAAAAATGTTGATGAAATACACAAACAAATTGAAACTAAAACTCTTGTAATGCAAACCTAAACAAAACACTTTGTTTATGGCTGTCAGACAAGAGAAACAGTCAATAAATACCGTAATGTATTAAATAGGCAATACTAAATGTGAATATGAGAGGTGCAGAGAATTAAATGTTAATAGTCAATGACGAAAATATAGAATAATAAAGAAATAAATGTGTGCTTGAGAGGTGTTAAACACTATGTTTAAGACTGATTGGAGTCTGGAATGCTGATATTTACCCGATGCGAAGCAGAGGGCAATTATCAGCATTCCAGACTCCAACCAGTCTTAACCCCATGGGCCCGGGAAGCGGTCATGGCCGCGGCCGCTAATCCTCATTAGAATGCAGTTGCCAGCTGTGGTATTTTGTGGCACACGGCTAGTGGGTAGTTCCACAGCTGCTGCTTTTGTGCAGTCCCGCTACCACACAAAGGCTGTGCAGTCATGCGGGCCACTTGCTCTATGTGTGGAGGAATGTCCTTATTATAACCCGTGCTTAAGGGGTTAAACATGGTGTTTAATACCGACCTAGCACATATTTATTCTCATTCATAAATAACCTTTCTGTCAAAAAAATGAAAACTGTTCGGTTCAAAAGTTAAAACTCGTTTTTCCACAGGCGGGCTCGAGTAGGCCTATGGCTTTTTCACTTAATTCTGTCCCGCACGAGGGTGGCCAGTTCGTCTGTCGATTCTTCACCGGTGTCCTTTTGCAACACCCCGGTGTAAGATATTTTCGGTCTTCCTCGCCTCCTGTATCCGTGGGTTGGTTTCCAGAGAATGACTTTGTGTGTCTCCAGCTGCGAGTGCTGGTAACAGTGGCCTGCTAACTGCATCTGACCGGCTGCGATTTTGTCTCCGACTCGTAGGAGTTAGAGTCCATGTTTCGCATCGGCACAGTAGCACTGATCGATGGCTGCTCGATAAGTGTTTGAAATCGGAGTTGCTGTCTCCACCTGCCCGAAGCAAACTGGTTTTAAGGCGCAAGAAACCTGCCTTCAGACCTCAAGCCCTCATTTCTAAACGGAGATCGGCAAGTGAAGACGGGCAGTAGGAGTTTGAATTAGGAGAGGCTATTTGAGACGCTGATCATATGGGACATTTCATGGATCGAAAAGGAGTGGCTCAATCCTCCTCACCGCCCCGATCATCCTAATACATTTAGACCCCATTATTTAGTAGCTCAGAGACCCGTTTTCTCACCTCTTTCATCTGCAGCGTTGTGCACTAATCACGATTGCTAAACTGCTGTGCTACCCTGTCGCAAATTGTGAGTGTTCTCCTGGACATATTTAGCAAATAACCTCCTTAGGGTCCCCCAGTGAATAGGCCAAAGATCCGTCCGCTGAGCTCATGAATAAAAGTTACACAGTCAAATTATTCTATATAAGAGACTTTTGAGAGCCATGGAATTATAGTGGATTGAAGACATATGACATTGCACCTCTGGTCTGGACTTGGGGCTTCCAATTCTGAGCATTTTGGATGCAATTGGGTCCAAAAGTGGCGCTATTTAGCCATGTTACAGGTGGATTCTTTTTTTAAATGGCTACTTTTCCAGTTTGGGAAATATAATTCGTTTGAGGGGGGGGGGTCCTCTGGAGGGAAACTCAGTGGAGGGAAACTAAAACTGATTATAGACAACCAAAACCGTTTGTTTTTATAGGGGACGTGAGCTCGCCCCCCTCTCCCTTCTTCAACACCAACCTACCCTTAGCCCTTACCCTACCCCCAATTTCCCGAAACTGCTGTCCCAAAACTGAACAACCATCAATCTCCAACATCTTCCTTCATCTTAAACCCCCATCCACCCTCGACCCTCACCAACCCAAATTCAAACGAAAAAAATAAAAAAAAAATCAAACAGACGAAACATTCCAAAGTAAATTACTTCAGTCTGCAATAAATTATATATCAAAGCAATTATGATTACAGTTAATTACAGTTTTAACATAAGAATTTGGAAGAAATTGCTGACGAGAGTCAGACAGGTTGTGTGCCATAAACGACAAAATATGATTCCTATTGGAGTATAAATCAAAACGATGTTGTGCTTTTACTTGCCTGTGAAATCGATTGACTTCTTCCAAACAAAAGGTTTTGTTTGCAAAAGTGTTTGAAACACTTGAAATAAAGTTTAACAGTAGGATCGGAGTTTAAAATACGGCAGGTAGTTTATTAAATCATCAAAAGCTAGAGTTTTGAATAATATTAAGTTACTTTTTCTAAGTAGTTATATTCGATACATATGACATCAAGATTACTTCGTGGTGTTAACACTTTTCTTACAACCAGTTTGTGTATTGTAACTGACAAGCGCTACATTTTATTACGTGATAGTGTCGTATTTTTCCAACAAATATTGGCGTAAAATCATAAACGGGTATTTGATAAGAATTAAACTCTCAAAGTCAATTTGGTCTAACTTTAATTCAAAAACCACATACTAAAACGTCTGAATTCCAATTAAAATGTTTGAGGCAAAACATAAAGTGTACAGTGAAATCTCGATAAGTCAAACTCTGATTACTCGAAACAACTGTCAAGTCAAGCAAAGAATCCATTCCCTTCAGTGTATAACAGTAATATACATTGTTGTTTAACTCAAAACTCTGCTGAAGTCAAATTTTGTTCCTGTTCCTTTGAGGTTTGACTTTTAGGACATTTAAGAATTGTTATGAGACCCTTCTGGTGCAATTCAAATGCAACCTCGTTTTAAAAAGAACATTTTGAAGATTAATAAATGATTTGGGGGCGTGTCAACTATGTTTTTCCCGCGGAAACACACCTTTTCAAGTGTTTTCGGAAATATTTTTGGAAAATCAATGTTTATGTGTCTGAAGATAAGCTTCTGATGACAATATGCTGGCATTGTTAGCACGGGTGGATCCAGAGGCTGTGATCCTATAACGTTTTAACCAAAAGAATAAGCAATCCCACCGCTCCCGCACCGTCCGCACTGTTAGATGCGTTTTTGTCGCATTGTGCTTCGTGACATTATTAAGTGTAATCAGTGGGTTTGTATTTTGACGAATAAATGTTCAAAAATAACATTGTTTTATTTCCCCTTTTTAGATTTTATTTGATGTTCTTTTACTTGTCTGTTGCCTTGATATATCTCACAGGTGATTTTGAATTCATTTATATCAAAACTATAGATACACGTGTGTTGAGTTATAAACCCGGAGTAATTGGGTAGACAAGTTTTCCATTGGATATTGCCCAGTTTAGTTGTGAATAGATTTATGTAGAAACAGAACAAAAATCACGAAATTTAGCTTTTCTTCAAAAGAACAATTGTGTATAATTATTTTTTTTAGAAAAGCACATTTTGGTCTGTCAAATCTTCATGGATGTCGCGAAAAGCCACACATGTGGATTTTGAAGAAAAAGCGTTTTGAGATATAAATAGTAAAAGAAGTTCCTCAGTTTTAAAACTGCAACAACAACTACTACTTTGTAACACCTTTCACATGATTCATTTGAACATGCACATGATTCTTTGAACGGTAAACGTTTATGTAAACCCATTAAATAGATTCAGCACAATAGTTAATTAGCCAACACCAATTAGTAAAGGTGCGTGTACCTTTGTAAAAATGAATATCAACGTTTCCTACATTTAGGCCCTTTCTGTTCAACGTGATTTTCCACAGGCAAGAGGTGCGCGTATTACACGCGCAACTAATAATGTAAAAAAAAGATGTGTGGCTCTTCGTCAAAACGAAAATCTCATTTGACCTGCTTTTACGCCTTTCCGTCCATCTGTTTTTTTGTTATGTACGCGTTCAAGGGGCACCTACGTCCGTGTTTCTACGTGGTAACACAGAATGCACTACTTGAGATGCCTGTCCTGTGCATCATTAATGTAATTAAGAATTTAATGATGTTTTGCTTAAAGAAGCATGTCAAAATGGTTTACAGTACGATGTTTTAAAGCGAAGTAGGGACAAACTCGAAATCGAAAAATTGTCATATTTGACATGTGTGGCTCTTCGTAAAAATGGTGACGAAATTACATGTATTTATACGCACTCATTACTTCCGGTTTGATTATGTCCACAGTTAAAAAGTGCAAGCTGAATATTGATTTGTTTCAGGAACGATACCTATTGATTCATGACGTGAGGAGAACTTCTAAAATACAAAACATGACAATGAATGAAGAAGTGTTTGTATAAATTCTGGTTAAATGACGTCACAGTATTTGGCCACCGAAGCCCAAATTTGTAACGCAAATCGTTATCGTGCTAGGAACATAGTCATGGATACTGATCAAATAATTGATTGGCATTGAACAAAATTGAAACTAGATAATTTCAAAATTCTTTCTACAACAACTTCTGGTCGGATTTTGAAACCTCGCAATGTCAGTTGCTGTTGTCCAAAAAACATCTAGGGACATCTTTATATACTTTAGACCAGTGATTAAAAAACAAATCTTTTACGTGCCTCTAGAGGGTGTCCTTTCTGAGGATGATGTCATCGTGGCTTTTTTGTGTGTTTGGCATCCCTTACTAAGCATTTCCATCTTTTGATTTTAGTAAAACGCTTCCGTTTTCAAATTACATTTATTGGCAATGCGCTTCCAGTAACACCGGAAGTAAATACCAAGCGATTGAATGTGTTCGGGAATGAGACATGTTCCCAAGGCATCATGTACATCCACAGGGAAAATGAACAAGGTACACTATTTAGTATGTCAGAGCAGTTCAAACGATATAGTTCATACTATTTTGTCTAATTTTAAACATATAATTTGATGTGCAATTACATCTTGATGACGTCACAAATGCGTCATCAATTCCAGGAGAGGTTAACGACCAACTCCAGGCTGGAGACGACCCCGGGGCCGTCCAAGATCATCGTGGTTGGAACAACTCGGACGGCCTAGCCAGATTGACTGCATGTGGAATGAGGCTGTCGGACGCGGGCACAGGAGATCGGCGCGACGGACCTATGCTGTCTATGCAGACGAGTGAGTGAGTGAGTGAGTGACATCATGATGACATCACACAAATGTCCACAAATTTTACACAGTTGACTAAGGTTCAAATTTGTACCAAGATTCATCCTTCTCCATTGATCCGTTACTTAGAAATTAGTCGGTTTTTGTTTAGGCTTCTCTGTGCATTTTATATATAGATGACTTTTACCTTCAGTTCCCCCGACTTTGCATTTGGTAATCAAAATGTTAATCAAATATGATCACAAAGTGTGAACGTGATTGTTCATTTGGTTCATGAGTTTTAAAATGATTGAAAATAGTAATACATGTATTTTGAACAAAAATCGCGAGATCATGACGTCAGAGAAATATCACACGCCTGGGATCAGGTTTAAGGTTTGTTCTAAGTTTCACGTTAATGTTGTGTACAGTTAAAGGGAAAATACAACATTTGCAAACATCAAAAAAATAAAACCACCAAATCATTTTGAAATACCTTGCTGGACTGTTAGTGAATGACAGTGTAAAGCATCATGTAAAATTATGGCACCTGGTATACTGTCATTTTCAAGAAAAGTGGTATTTTTGTATCAATTTCCCTGACCTTATAATTCCCCAATGTATGTACACTGCTCTGTTTTTTCTTATATGGAGTCAGGGAACCAGACTACAGAAAAATGATTGTTTTTCTTGGTTTTTATAGCATTTTCGAACCCAAAACCTCAAAAAAGTCAGTGTAACTATATTTGCTATATATTTCCAACCCCCCAATTCCATCCATTTCTGAAAATTACAGCAAAAGCAAATGATGTATATTCCCTTTAAGAAGCAAATTTGCAAAGAAATATCTTCATGGACAAAAGGACGAGAAAATCGATTGGAATTATCCGCCAGTATCAATGTCCGTTTGACAGTCATGTTCATAATTGTACTAAGATAGTATGAATGAAATATTCAAGATATTTTCATCAGAAATATTTTATTCCACAGTGTATACAAAACCGTTGTCAACAAGTGTAAGTATTATGTTTAATGTCTATCCATGATATATCTATTGTATACAAGATGTGCGTGTGGGTAACGCAAAACAAATATTTACAGTATAATTTTGAGATATTCAACTACTATTTCTTTTAATTCAGTGGTTATTATTTCCGCAAAATGGAATGCAGTTTTTAAGTATTCAGCAACACGATGCCCTTATGTATTTATGTGTGGTGATATTTTATTTATTCGGGATAAATGAAACCACTGAATGAGGTGCCGTGATTGGAACAACCACCTACGCTGCCGCGCATGGTAAGATACACCGTGTCTCCTTGCTGCAGAACCATCACTGCGCTCCCAGACATCGGCTCGTGACTTGAAGCACTGCTATAGCTAGAGACAACCACGTCGTCGTTCTTCCGGACCTGGACGTACAGTACTCCGCTGGAATACAATTTGCAAACAGAAAACATAAACACGTAGGTGCCCGACACACTACAGGTGAATGTGCCAGTCTCAAGATCGAAGCTGGTACCCGGCAGTAGCGTCGCGGCGTGCATGAAGGGCAAATGGGTGTTAATGTCCGTAGACACAACTGAAGCACCCGACCTCGTCACGGCGAATGCTACCGGCTGATTGGAGTCGTCTGGTGTCTCCCCTGGCTCACCCTTTTGACCTTTGACGCCAGTATGACCGGTTGCTCCAACTAACCCCGGTGTACCCCTCGGACCTTCCTTGCCGGGCAACCCTATCCCGTCGTCCCCAGGGTTCCCAGGTGTTCCCCGCTCACCCATAGGGCCAATTGGTCCAATCTCACCCTCATGACCTGGCTCGCCCTTTGACCCCGGCTGACCGTATGGCCCCATCGGCCCTACAGGTCCAGGCAGACCTGGTATGCCGGGTATAGCAGCAGGTCCCTGGCAGCATTGCTGACACACCTGAGACGCAGGACCATCACCGTCCGAGGGAACCGTCCCAGTAACGGAAGCTCGGAGCTTGACAGAGTTACCTAGAAGTAGGGCGATTGATAAAATTGCCACACAGATCTTCATCTGTAAATAAAAATAACAATAAAATAGGTAAACATGAGAACAAATTAAATGCCGGGAAAATGATCTATGAGAGAAAAAATATTGAAGTCATGCAGACAAACTGGGGAATCACATCTTGGCTTAAGCAAGACTTATGAAAAGTTGCGTTGTTTGAAAAAAAAAGAATAATTATGGATGTTAACATTTTGTATGCTAAGTCAAAACTAATCTAATTTGAAAAGTTTCTATTTAACGATCTCACTGAACGAAATTCATTTTCCTAACTGCAGGTGGTTTATTTTGTTTAATATCTCATCCAAAAGTTAAAATCAGAAATCAGCGCTGATCAGTTTTGCTATTAGCATCAACTGCCATCTGTTTCATAACAGATCGAGTCTTAGAAAATCTGTAGGATTTGTGAATATCTGTTCCAACTGTAAAAGAAAACATGATTTTCAAAATATCAAGCCATGGTTGTTTCGAATCTAGGGGGCATGCTGGGTGAAAACTTACATACAAAAATAAATTCATCCCAGATATTGTGCCCCACATGCAAATATTCACCCAAGAGCTTGTGCTTGAAACGTTTAAAGCAGACAGCGGAGCAGAAGGGCCATATAATTTCTGCAAACATCATATCTATTCAGGATTTCTACATTCCAGATAGATAAAGCAATTTGAACTTGAATAATACGTTGTGCATCATCATCCAATCATCAAGGTCCAATTTATTCTATTTCCTAACCGGTGACTCTCTTATTATACATTGCTTAATAAAGTAGCCTAATAATAAAACCGGAATTGCGCACTGTGAACTAGTCTTTGTTCGAAGACGTTACTACCTGTGTTTGTGTACGTGTGTAATCATACTACTAATGAACACTTTTGCAAAACAATTGTTTTCAATCAACAGAGGGCGCACTTCAATTCATTACAGAAGTGGAAGTACAGGATCGATCGCGCTAGAATCGATACTCGTTGAATAAATATGTTGAATAAACACAGTGAATAAGAATCGAATACATTGCAGAATCGATAACAGATTTGTATTGTAGGCCTATAGTGGAATATAATTTTTGCGCGGAGAAAACAAAAATATTCCACGAAAGTCTTGGAACCAAGACTAACTGTGAACTAGCAAACTGACAAAGTTCAAAAGTGCAAAGGGTATATATTGCGATCCGACTCATTCATAACACTAATAAGACAGCCATGTGTGAGTGGTCCGGATTTCCTGCATCCGCTCTTCCGTGACCAACTTTTCATCCTAAATTGTTTAGAGTGATTGCTAAAAACATGTTTACATGTTCATCGAAACACATGTTTGTGTTTGAATAGGAAGGCTTCGAATCAACAGAGAAAAAGAAACGAGGTAGAATATACAGTGATGCTTGATTTTACGAGTCGGAATATACAGGGTCGAGCTTATCACAAAACAATGTTTTATTACATGTAAAAGAATGACAGTGCGCAAATGTGAATCACCAGGAACCATACTAAATTTTAAATTATTCGTAAATTAGCAGAAAATTTTAAAGAAATGCAGTCAAACATAAATAGCCATGTTTTGTCAATGAAAAGTACCGTGATTGTGATTCTGTACTGCGCTATTGTTTTGCATCAAGATATCAAGTGAGTTTCTCAGACCCATAAAGCAACCAGTCATGGATTAAAAAACAATAATACAGTGTAAGTAGTTGCGGAAATATTGTAAGCTGACAGGAATTCCTCTTTGTCCAAATAGAAAAAAACAAACACCTGATTCCCGTTTGTTTTCTATTGCTTAAAGTTGTGGCCTCACAAAATGTTGGTCCGGGATCTGCATCAACTGTTTGCGTAGGAACCATTATTCAGCTATATCATGCACAGCACAATGCCCTCTCACCTGGTTAATTTCAAACATGGATTTCAATAAAGCATCGAGCTATTTTCTTTTAATTTATTTATTTATTTAAACTTGTTTATACACGGTAACCCATTGAACCAAGGTTGTTTTTCAAGGGGCCGTGTTACATCATTTTACCTGTTGCGTAAAATTAGACAATACACAAAATATAATCAGTAATTCAAATCATATATAAAACAACATGAAACATTAAGTCAATGTGTAAAAGTAAGTACAAACCTTCAAAAATTTTTTTTTTTTAAATAACACAGCATGACATAATGAACTGATTCCAAAATGTCCGTTGGGAAAAGGCACAATTTCTGGATCGGAAATTAACGCGCTGGTTCGACAATTTAGCAAACGTGTGTCAGCATCATAGTCACAAAAGATTCAATTAATATTTTATTCATAAACATCAAGGGTTTGTGCAGTCACCAAGCAAGTACACAGTACATAAACACAAAAAAGGAAAGACAACGTACTACCACGCTTGTTGTTTGAAAAATAATTGTGTCAGCAATAATTATCAAAACCTTAATCGCACCATAATTTAAACACTTTGTGGAAAAAGCTATGCCTGGCAAGTGATTAACCAAAAAGTCAGACACAGTTGTAAGGTGGATGTGTTAGGGCAATGGAACCCTAGAATAATATCACTTCAACACCTTTTCGTCGAGCGACGTTTTCCGTAATAATTTTAACCCAAATGGTTTATAAATAAACATAACAAAAAGATGCAGTCTCCCACCTCATCACATCTCTATTATGATGCTTGATTGCGGTAAATGTCAAGTAACATACATTACCTTAAAGTAACGCTCTTGAATCCTATCACGAAAGGAATCCTCAACACTCTAGCAGAATGCTGGCTGAAAAAAAACACGAAAAAACAAACAAAAATGATAAACTTACAATTCCACTCGGTGGAGGAGGCATAGCTGAATTTCACAAGTAAAAATATATTTGTTGGGCGAACTGCGCTTACGGCTTCAACGGACTCACGCAAAAGTTAACAATTTCGAAAAAAAAACATTTACTCACAAAAAGGATTCTATTCTTTCTTTTTTTAATCTTTAGGGAAACAAAACAAGTTTAAGCCAGGCAAGTTTATGGCGATCGCGTAGTGTAGGACCCCTGTTTAGTGTAGGACCCCGCGGTGATCGTCATCTTTATTTTCGTGTTGCATTTTGTTGTTGTCATCGTCATTTTACCCCCAAATTTCCCTCAAAAACTCAAAATCCTGCCCATTATTTATCACATACCTATATGCTCTTAATGTCGCCAATTAGTTTGGTTAGTCAAATAATTTAAAAGTGGGTTTTGTTCCCTTATAAAAACCGGGCCCGTAGATACACGATCGCCAAGTTTATTTACAAATTCCCGGAAAAGTAACTTACCGGTTTAATGGCAGAAACTCAATGCACAAAATGAAGATAAGACTCGAATCAATACCCTGTGAAAATCGTTTATAATTAAGCTGAACACGGAATGGGTTTTCAAAATAATGTCCCCGCGGGCACAGTCTTTTACGTTTGTTTGCAACGGAATTATTTTTCCAGACCAAACCATTGCTGTGCATACATTTTTTTTAACATTTATATGATCCACTGGGCAAAAAACTTCAACAGGTTAGTTGAAATGCACCGTAGTTCATATTCTATGGAATTTGGTTGCATCTAACAAAATAACTATATTCCTGTAAAATTGCTTGAATTTGTTGTATGAATCACAATAAACATACCTTGTCTACATTGATAAGGGAATCGATCTCATACCGAGGAAGTATATATAGTGGCGGTAATAATACAGGTGGACTACCCAGAGTTGCTGACTCGAGTCAAGTGACTTGGACTCGAGTCGGACTCGAGTCGCTATTTTTGTGACTTGTGACTTGACTTGTAAATACCATCTTAGACTTGTGACTTGACTTGGACTTGCAAACAATGACTTGTGACTTGACTCGGGATTGCAAAAAATGACTTGTTACCAACCCAAGTCAGACGCTAAATCCAGTAAAATGAATAGTTCCCACTAGTTTCAAAAGTTTTCAATAAGACTGTCACAACAAACTACACAGTTTTCAATGACCAAGTCTCTTGCTTAATGTAATGGTTGAACAAACTTTGAAAGGAACCTTTCATGAAAAGAAAGCAGCCCTTTGTCAATTGCATGTAAAATACCGGATAGCTTAACCCATTGGTAGACGTTTAGTATACATGAAAATTGAACAATTAGTGTTAGTATACTACATGTAATCGAGTGAGTCTTTTTTTCATGTCATGTCAACATTTATTTCTACAGTGTTAAGTAAATTAATTAAAGTATACAAAGGGCTAATATCCAACAGATATGTGATAAACTACAAGAATAGTATTAGCAACACATTGAAAAAGGGGAATTAAGGAGGCATGTTCAAAATAACTCGTAAGTTGACGCCAGGTTCTTTTAGCTTATTACAGCTGGACAAAATAATGTGCAACTTGACGACGTGTTCTTGGACAAAGATACTTGTGACTTGACTTGTGTTTAGACCAAATGACTTGTGCTTTGACTTGTGACTGGACCTAATGACTTGTGACTTGACTTGTGACTGGACCTAATGACTTGGGACTTGACTTGTGACTGGACCTAATGACTTGTGACTTGACTTGTGACTGGACCTAATGACTTGTGACTTGACTTGGACTTGCAAACAATGACTTGTGACTTGACTTGGACTTGCAAAAAATGATTTGCTGCCACTACCGCAATCAAGTTACAGTCGCTAAAAAGAAGAATATATTTTGGTATGAGAAATCAGGGTACTGGTTTGGCTAAAGCGTCAGCCACCATCTGTTTAGCAACCGAATGTGGATTTAAATCTATAGGATATGTGAAAATCGGTACAACCATTCAACAAAATATATTCAAAATATTAAGCCAAATACCACTATCGCTGTTTGTAAAA